ACGACCTCACTATAGATTTTCAATCCACCTTCTTCGGTGTAAATACTACAATTTTATTTATTTCATTTGTATTTACAATTCATCAAATTATAAATTCAGATTAACAATTTGTTATTACAATTTGTTATCTTTTATAAAACAAGTTAACTTTTTATAATTGAAAATTATTGATTAGTTGTTAAAGTGTTGTATAAATGTTTTCCATCCTGCTGGGTTAATGTTAAAGTATGAATTTGAATTCCCCCAATACTGATGTACAAAAATCACCGTTACAGAAAAAAATGCGAATAAAGCGTTAGATTAATTTATCTTATCCAAATAAAGAATTGAGAACGCTTAAACTGTTGCAAATTGTACATGTAGTCTAATACAGGAAAAATCTATGAAATATTTTGTTTATAAAACAAGTAAAATCAACAGTTAACACATTAATCACAGATTGTGTTTGTCTGCACATGATTAGAAAAATCGGCTTTCTAAGAAATTGCCCCAAAATGTACGATACATGGGAGAATTATTTGAAATCACAAAGATATAGTCAGATAGGAAACAAACTCACTCAATCTTGTAATTCATATTCGATTATCTTGTGATTTATTTTTGAAGGTTGTGAATACTTTATAATTATATTTAAAAAAAACCCTGTGATTCATATTTAATTATGCGATAATCTTGTGACTTATATGCGAAAAGTTCATATTCGAAATCTTGTTACTGTGTATTTTTTTTTAGGTGTGTCAAAATATTTATTTTCCTTAGTCGACTATTCGATAACATTATTCGAACGATAGTCGAATATTCGGAACATTTAATTAAAATAAAATTTTAATATTTCAAACCTCACTTGTAAATGCAGGAGGTATTTATAACCAAAAAAAAAACTTTTTACCTCATATATACAAAAAAGTAACATTAATTGCCTCTGTTGCACACAGATGTTTACAGGCACCTAACGTGTGGGCAGTGTGTTTAGATGAAATAAATTTAGACCGTAAATTATTCATATATCAGTTTTTATTTTAGCAAGCATTAAAAAAATTGCCAGCATGATATTTTTTAAAGTTTACAAAAATAAAGAGGGGATGGGGGTGGAGGGTTAATACACACTATCTACACGTCTTACTCTGAATATATGTATTGTTAATAAAATTAATTTGGAAAGATATACATGTAAATATCATTACTTCAAATAAAACGTTTTATCATAATTATCATTTTATATTTAATGGAATTTTATTCAATTATTCTCCATTGCTAAAGCAAATTCGCCGGGACAGTCTATGTGTTTGTTCATCACAAAAACTTGAACATTCGTCATAATTTTTTGTTTAGTTTATCAATTTCAAGAAATATTCATCTAATAGAAAATGTATAATAATTTTTAAAAGATCAGACTCTCATATTCCACATATGAATTACGAATTACAGAATCTTTCTAATTTATTATTTTTTTTATCTTATGACCTTGTGAAATTTGATATACTTATAAAAAAACAACCCTGACCTAAGCTTAGTATGGAATGAGATATATGTTTTCATAATTCACATGTGCAATGCCCGTGACAAAACTATAACAAGTCAATGGAAAGTATGATCTTTGACCTTGACATTTGACCTTCTTTACAAAACTTTTAATTCTGGCCAAAGCTTTGCACCTGATGAGACAGGACTTTTATATTTTCATGTACATGTACATAGCTGTAACAAGACCTTCCAAATATACTCTGATTTTTAACCTCATAAACTTGACCTTGAAGTTTGACTTTCAAGTCATAACTCAATCCTTGGTCCAAAGCTTTTAAACAGAACATCCCACTTTAAAAATATATAATAATTTTAAATATGATGAGCTACCACGACAGTCACAATAAAAAAAAAAAAAAAAAAAAAAAAAAAAAAAAAAGATTAAAGACATTACATATCATTTCCCTGTAGTGAAATACACTGGGTTTCCTTCTTGACAACATGACAGCTAGGGTTTGTAGAACACATATATTTTGGCACTATTATCCTACTGTTCTACTGTCATGAACATAGAAGAAATTTGAACTTTGTGCTGGTTGCTTTTCTTTTATGATATTTTTTTTTCATTTCACACTTTATTGATTAATTATGTAGATATGTATATGTTCACATTTTCTGTGGAACAAGTAAACAACATAACGGAATTTTAAGATTTCTCTCGATTTATGCAATAGAGGAATCAGGATACATTGACATTTACAATGTAAAGATATTTCCACACAAATTTAAATCTTTGTCCATTGTTATAAATTTCTATATCCTTTGCTTCCTCCTTGACAGGCTTACACTACAAAATAAAAAGTAAATAAGATCAATATAACATTAGAGTTAAGGCATCTTCTCCACAAGATGTTACGTTTATGACTAGAAACATGCAAAGAGACACCCTAAAAAGTAATTAAATTGGATTCCATTTTCATAATGCAAACTTGGTTGAAGGACACCCTACTAAAAAGATGGCTTTTAAACCCTGCGAGAGGGAAAGATAAACTGTGGTGATGGGTATATAGACCCTGATGATAGATAATACAGACCCTGGTGATGGGTATACAGACCCTGGTGATGGGTATATAGACCCTGGTGATAGATAATTCAGACCCTGGTGATAGATAATACAGACCCTGGTGATGGGTATACAGACCCTGGTGATGGGTATATAGACCCTGGTGATAGATTATACAGACCTTGGTGATAGGTATACAGACTTTGGTGATGGGTATACAGACCCTGGTGATGGGTTTACATACCCTGGTGATGGGTATATAGACCCTGGTGATAGATTATACAGACCCTGGTGATGGGTATAAAGACCCTGGTGATGGGTATACAGACCCTGGTGATGGGTTTACAGACCCTGGTGATGGGTATATATACCCTGGTGATAGATAATTCAGACCCTGATGATGGGTATACAGACCCTGGTGATGGGTATACAGACCCTGGTGAAAGATATACAGACCCTGGTGATGGGTATACAGACCCTGGTGATGGGTTTACAGACCCTGGTGATGGGTATATATACCCTGGTGATAGATAATTCAGACCCTGGTGATGGGTACACAGACCCTGGTGAGGGGTATACAGACCCTGGTGATGGGTATATAGACCCTGGTGATAGACAATACAGACCCTGGTGATGGGTATACAGACCCTGGTGATGGGTATATAGACCCTGGTGATAGATAATTCAGACCCTGGTGATGGGTATACAGACCCTGGTGATGGGTATACAGACCCTGGTGATAGGTATACATACCCTGGTGATAGGTATACAGACCCTGGTGATGGGTATATAGACCCTGGTGATAGATTATACAGACCCTGGTAATGGGTATACAGACCCTGGTGATGGGTATACAGACCCTGGTGATGGGTATACAGACCCTGTGATGGGTATATATACTCTGGTGATAGATAATTCAGACCCTGGTGATGGGTATACAGACCCTGGTGATGGGTATACAGACCCTGGTGATAGGTATACAGACCCTGGTGATAGATAATACAGACCCTGGTGATAGATAATACAGACCCTGGTGATAGGTATAAAGACCCTGGTGATGGGTATACAGACCCTGGTGATAGTTATATATACCCTGGTGATAGATATTTCAGACCCTGGTGATGGGTATACAGACCCTGGTGATGGGTATATAGACCCTGGTGATAGGTAAACAGACCCTGGTGATGGGTAAACAGACCCCGGTGATAGGTAAACTGACACTTGTGATAGGTATACAGACCCTAATGATGGGTATACAGACCCTGGTGATGGGTATATAGACCCTGGTGATGGGTATATAGACCCTGGTGATAGATTATTCAGACCCTGGTGATGGGTATACAGACCCTGGTGATGGGCATACAGACCCTGGTGATAGGTATACATACCCTGGTGATAGGTATACAGACCCTGGTGATGGGTATATAAACCCTGGTGACAGACAATACAGACCCTGGTGATAGGTATACAGACCCTGGTGATGGGTATACAGACCCTGGTGATGGGTATATAGACCCTGGTGATAGACAATACAGACCCTGGTGATAGGTATACAGACCCTGGTGATAGGTATACATACCCTGGTGATAGACAATACAGACCCTGGTGATAGGTATACAGACCCTGGTGATGGGTATACAGACCCTGGTGATAGGTATACAGACCCTGGTGATAGATAATACAGACCCTGGTGATACATAATACAAACTATGGCAATATATAAACAGACCCTGGTAATAAGTATACAAACCCTGTAAACACAATTAATTTATAAAAGTAATATATGATAAATGCATAAATAAATCAATAAATAAATGCATGCATGAATGAATGAATAAATAAATAAATAAATACATAAATACATACATAAATAAATAAATAAATAAATAAATAAATAAACTAATTAATTAATTAATAGAATAAGAAATAAACGATGGAATGAATGTAATAAATAAATAAACAAATAAATGAACTTCCTAATGAATTAATCAATTACTTAATTATTTAATTATAAGAATAATAAATAAATAAATAGATAAATAAACTAACAACCATACAAATTAATAAATCAATGAATTAATTAATAAATAATTAATTAATGGATGGAATAATTAATAAATGAAGGAAAGAATGTAATAAATTAAAAAAAAATACATAAATACATTTTTTAATAAATTAATCAGTTACTTATATAATTATTAAAAAGATAAATAAATAAATAAATAAATAAAATAAAAACTAACTGTAAAGTTGATTCATTTATTCTTCTGCTTTTTAAATAAAAGTTGATCGAATTATGCATAAATTTCTGCATCTGACTATAGTATCAGTCTGCATTACTAGTTTCCATTATTTATTCCGAATTTCCTCTTCCCGTTTTCCGATCTCGATGGAAATTTATTGCGCGCATGCGCTCTGCCTGGTTATAGAGGCTGGTTACGAGATCCAAAAAAGCATACATATTATACCTCCTCTCAATCCCGTCGTGGAATTTTCCTTAAAAATTTCCTGAATTTTCATTAACTTTTTGTATAGTCAGGTACAGTGTATGTTGCTGCACAGTTATGGCAGAAGAAAAGAAATATGGATGTGAACACTACAAAAGAAAGTGTGCACTGATCGTAAGATTTTTCTCTTCTCTCCATTTTCCCGATGTTTTCTCCATGTATCCAATATTTTAGATCTGACTGGCTTGATCCTGTTTAGCCTTATCAAAGGAAGAAAATCAGTGGATTTTGAAAGTATTTCTAACATCATTTCATAAATACTTGTTATGAATTTTCTTACAGAAATACATTTACATACATACAAAGGTGTTTTTTTTTTGGTTAAATTCCCTATTTCAAAATTGTTGTTCCAGGCTCCTTGCTGCAAGAAAACATATATCTGTCGTGTCTGTCATGACGAGAAAGAGAACCATGAACTTATTAGAAAGAATGTTGTGCAGGTGCACTGCCTCGCTTGTAACAATGTCCAACAGGTCTGTTTGAATGATGATCGAGTGTTTCTTTTCTCTTTCAACTTATTTACCTTGCATTTCGGAGTAAGACCAAATATTGATTAATAACTCATTTTGCATTTAAGCATGATTGGCTCCTAAATAGAATGTTCAGTTGTAAAAATGATGCTGTCCTACAGAAAGATATATTTTGATGATGAGATTTGCAATATAGGCCTGCATGGGTTCAAATCCTGGTCTGGTCCGTCACATTTTTCTCCTCTCCTGTTACAATTGGTGCCATGCTATGCCCTGGAAGTGACAGATGAAAGACCTGCCAGGGAAGAGCCTGGGTTGGTGTCTTCGGGGGCTGAAGAACTTAAAGGAGAGAGGAATGTGGCGGTCAGACAGGTTCAATCACTGGTGGCCAGGTAGCTCAGTGAGTAGAGCACCTGACTGGGGATTCAGGGGCCCGGATTTGAATCCTGGTCTGGTCTGTCACATTTTTCTACTCTTCTGTTACAGTAGCAAAGTAACAAAGGGCTGTTAACTCCAGTCTATACAACTGCAATCTATACATATGTTATAAACATAAAATTTACATTTTAAATAATTCTGTCTTAAATTTAGTATGTTTTACGGTGTGACCGATGGGGTGAGCACAGTTGTACCATCTATTTAAAAAGCTATAGCAGCTTACACTTGTAATGTTGATCCACCTCTTCAAACGTCAAACCGCACGAGACACAGTCAAGACTGTGACGTCACAAGACGTCGGAATTTACGGAGACAGCTGAGCATCTGGTTGAACAAGACTAAAGATCTTGTGCAATAATAAATGAAATATGTTGTAGAGGAGGTGTAATTATTTTTTGTTTCATTTAAGCTCTCTGCAAAGAAAGAAAAGTAAATGTATCTCTCAGTAATGAATAATTATCCTTGGTCTTTTGTATGTTTTGTAAGAATTTCGCATGGAACCCTGGTAGCAAAGGAATTCTGGGAATGTTGCACCAGAAAATTTGCCTGACGTATGTACAGATTTCCGAATTTTTTCTGTTCTTACACGTTAGTCTATTGAGCTTGCTGCGCTCGCTATAAAGTCATTGCCCACAAACTAGAGATGCTGAAAAAAAATCAACATACTAATCTATTTGCACTTCAAATGGAATAGTTTAATTATATTAAAGAAAATTTAAATACAATATTTTACAATAAAATGTATATGTAGCATACGATGTGTATTTCTGTTTTAGTTGGTTGGTTATCCTTCAGCAAAAAATTGGTATCATAAATGGAGGATACGTAAAGAAATAATAATGTTTTTTGTGTTAACTTTACGTTAACTCAATATATTTATATATATATATATATATATATATATATATATATATATATATATATATATATATTACTTACCGGTATACTCCATTTATGATACTGATTTTGTATAATTGATTTCGGATTGATTACAAGAATCAATTGAAATTAATGACTCCTTTGTAATTTATTTCAAATTGAAATTTTTTAATTTTAATTAACTTAAGTTATTTATTGACAGGTCCAGAGTTTATGTGAGGAGTGTGGTATAAAATTTGGTAATTATTTTTGTGGAATCTGTAGACTTTTTGATGACGAAGACAAACAGCAGTTTCATTGTGATGGATGTGGCCTTTGCAGGTAGGGAATCACCTGATCTGTCAAAGAAGCTAGCATTGACTTACTCAAATTCCGTAACTCTATCTTAATACCACATTCAGACCTTAAATATGGAATTAAACATTTTTAATGTATGTAGGATTATTTTGTTTTTCAATTCTTGGTCCGAAGGCCAGGATAGAGTTGAAAAAGGGTGGTCAGATTTTTTACATTGATATATATATATATATATATATAAATTCTGCAAAATTCTTCTTCTAAAGCCAAAGTCAAATAAATTGTGTATCGTTTTCAAGAAGCTGTGGATCAGTTTTTTCCAAATCATAACCCCTTTGACAAAAACACGGCCATGTTAGGTTGTCAAAAAACGTTGAAAAAATTCTTTACTCTCAAGATAGCAGTGTCACAATTATATGAATATGCAAGCAATATCATGTTATATGGAAGTTTGTTCCAAGTTTCTTCAGGGTCAGTTGGGGTTAAGGTTGAGGCAGCAAAGGGGGTATAAAAGTATAGACACAGAAGAACTAAAAGCTTATATCTGAAGCCTCAATATACTGTAAATAAAAACTGTTTACATTGATGTTGCCAAACTGCATTATAATTAGGCCAACATTTTTTTATTTTCTGTTTTAAGGGAATTTTTTTCAAAAATTTGACTCTGGGGGTCGAAATAAAAATAAAAATAAAAGCTCAAAATTTAAGCAGTTGGTCAGAAAAATTAAAATAAAATGAAAAAATGCAACAAAAATTTTTATTTTCAATTAAGGTTGGAATTTTTTTTGTATGACCTTAATTTGTTAGAAAAACAGTGTTATTTGAAAAACTTATGTACACAAAACACAGAATTGGTACTGTTAATGGATCAATGAACTGTTTTAAATTTAACTTTCTCTTAGATATTTGGGGCAGGGGTGCATTTCTAGTATAAAGCTTGCAGTTTCTAACATTAATGCAAATCAAACATACAAATCTATAGTCTTCTCTCAGTTGTCAAATATCATATTGTCACCACAGTAAACCTATAGGACTTATGTCACACCCCTCATAAACTTTTCAGAATCTTTTATTTTTGGGTATTCAGCAAATTACAAGATCTGAGGATTTTGGACTAGTTCTGGCAAAGTTATGGAGAAAATACAGTGAGACATTAATGGATCAGCTAAAATAAATTAAATCACAGAAGTGCACATGAGACATGATAAAAAGAAAAGTTGTATAATATTTTTTTTCAACGCAATTCCAATTAATATATGTAGGTGGAAAAACGTACCACAATATCTCTATTGAAAACATATTCAAACTTTTTCAGTCTGTAGTATAATTATTCAATCTCTTTTTATCCTTATATTTTTCTTTCTGAGCATGCTAACTTTCAACATAACTGTATAAAATACACATCTTTCCCATAGTATACACATGTAAAATACACATGACAATATTCTGTTTACTGCAGAATTTAAAAATTTAATTGATGAAAATGGTTCTAATCCACAACTTTTGAATGAAAAAAGAAACCAGGTCTTGAATTGAAATAATATTTGTAAGGGCGTATCATTTACAACAATACTTTTCCCTAGTGGTAAAAAAAAAGTTGTTTTACTAAACAAGAGCTACACTACATCAGCTGATATGAATACGCTGATCAATCAATGTACATTATTTGTTACATAGCACCCAAAATTCTATAAAGGGGTAAAAAAGGAAATAATGTCTTGTATCAATCAATGATATATTTTCGTAGGTAATTCTGAATTCCAATATTTGTCATAAAACGAGTGAAAGTTATGACTCTAATTTCCTCAGTCACGCCACTTTCTACTAGTTCTACAGTGTTCCGTCGTTACTTGTAAAAAAAAAAACATTTCTGTCTTAAACTTAAGTTTAAAAAAAAATCTTCAAGACGCATTTCAATGTATTGAAGCAATTGTCAAAGATAATATGTACTCAAAACCTTTCTAAACAAGCGGTTGACAGAACCTCGATTTCCACATGGCCCTCCGCATGACATTTGATCAAGATTACTGTTTCATCTATTTCATTCAATCTTTCATTAAAATTTATACTTTTTCTAATATATAACATTGACACGTCACTTTTTAAACTGACTATTTAAAAACATGTGAAACCCTCCGATTCTGACATTTTGGTGCTATGCTGTGCAGTGACTATTCACGCTTCGAATACCGTGATTGGATGAATATATTTACCTCAGCCAATGACAAATCGCATTTTGAAAGGCTTGTAAAAAGGCTATTTATATTTCTTTTATTTTTTCAGTGACTATAAACAAACTATCGGCGGGAGAAATAAAAATAAAACTTAAATTGGGGTCGGCGCTCCCGTAAAACAGAATATAAAAAAATGTTGGCCTTAGTTAATTAATATCCCTTTTCCCTTGAGACTGTTTTTTTTTTAAATTTTGTAATCATCAGATTTTTTTTTGACTTCAGTAAAGTGAATGCAGTTTTTTTTTTAGGATTGGGGGTCGGGAGAACTTTTACCACTGTGATGTTTGTGATGTCTGTCTGGCAGTCTCCATGAAAGATAACCACAAGGTGAGAATTGGACAGAGGCACATTATACATTACTTCTGAATATACTGCTAATTGTTAATTTAGGGTTATATAATTCTAAGTGTAAGCCATGCATTTATGAGCATTTAGAGCATACATTCACCTATAGTAGAATATTAATAATACAGATTGGTGCATATTTATATATCAGTTTCTTGTAGAGGACAATTGCAGTGTAGAAATAGACCTTAACTGTTATCTGATACTTATACTAAAATTGAAATTTTATTTTTACAAAGAATTTTTAGAACTTTAAGATAAGCCTTACCCTGACCTTTTTTTTTCTTTTTTTATTTGGTAGTGTATAGAGAAGTCTTCCCATTCAAACTGTCCCGTGTGTTTAGAAGACCTGCATACATCTAGAATAGCAGCTCACATCCCACCCTGTGGTCACCTTATTCATTAGTAAGTGTTAGTGATAGATATACACTGTCAAAAAGATTACCGTTATAACTTAACTATCATTACTAAGAGTACTGCAATATCTTGAATTTTGTAAAATTCATTCAATAAAACAGATTATTAAAAAATCATAATTTTAATGATTAAAATTTCTGTATACAAATGCACATAGAAATCATAAAAATATAAGATAAAGAATGTTTTAATTTTTTTTCAGCAAATGTTTTAAAGACATGCTGAAAACTGGGTGAGTATACTAAGATTATTGTTGAATTAATATAATCGCAAGCCCCCCCCCCCCCCCCCCCCCCCTTACACACTGAAAAAAGCCGTATTTTGAATAAATTTTATAGTTTAAAATACACCACTTAGTACATATATATAAGTGAATGCATTAGAGATTTTTTTTTCAGTTACTACCTTCTTACATAAGACACTTAGTGCTTGATATTCAATCTGAATGATTAATCATGAACTTTCAATATTTAGTAACTACGCGTGTCCTATATGTGGCCAGTCTATGCTAGATATGAGCGACGTGTGGCAAAATGTTGACGAAGAGGTTTCCCAGTGTCCAATGCCAGAGGAATACCAAAATTATTACGTACAGATCCTGTGTAAAGATTGTCATGAGGTAATTTACATTTGTACAAAAACACCAAAACCTTCCTGAAGCAGTATATAAAAGGAAGAAAGAAAGTCTTGTTTTAATTAAACTAATTAGTATTTTAGATATTACATTTGAAAAAGGATGGTGCAAGTTAATTTTTCTTCTGAAATGCATTTATTTTAGGTTTGTTCATTTAGAAGTAATATATTATGAAAAGTTTCTAAAACAAGAGCTTTTTTCCTCAGGAGAGTCGAGTCTTATTTCATGTATTGGGACTAAAGTGCCAACATTGTGGTTCCTACAACACTTGTCGTACCCAAGAACCTGAGGGTGCAGAAGAGATGGCGTGTCCCTCCCAGTCCTCGGGGTCTGGTACTTCACAAGAAACCGAAACTACAGCGGAGGCTTCTTCTAATGAAACGACTGAGAGTGACCCTACAAACTCAAATAGCACTACAGATGTCTCAAACTTAACAGCACAGGTTAACAATTTAGATACCTCTGGGGGCACCTGAAGGGGAGATTTCTAGTAACTCTGCCAGCAGTGCAACAATTTAAGGTGACATTTTATGTAGCAGAATGAGATATGCAATGTGAACATATTCATATTGGCTACTCAAAAGAAGTTGTATATTGTTAGTTAGATAAATTATGCAACATTTTTATGCCCCGCCATGAATATGGCCGGGGCATATAGTGTTTGTCATGTTCGTCTTCGGTCCATCCGTCTTTCCGTTTGTCCTTCCATCACACTTTGCATTTAGCTCTGTTCAAAGCTCAGTTTCTCAGAAATTATACAAGATATTTTTTATCAAATTTCATATGCTGATAGATATTAAAGAGAGCTATGCAACTGCATCAATATTTTTTGACCTTGACCTTTCCTTTGACCTTGACCTCACTTTTCTTAAATTAGTGTTTAGCTCAGTTTTAAAGAAACCATTCAATATAGTGTTATCAAACTTCATATGCTGATACATACTGATGAGAGCTCTTCAACAGCATCAACATTTTTTGACCTTGACCTTTCCTTTGACCTTGACCTCACTTTTCTTTAATTAGTGTCAAACGTCATATGCTGATACATACTGATATAAGCTATTCAACTGCATCAATATTTTGACCATGACCTTTCCTTTGACCTTGACCTCACTTTTCTCAATTTGTGTTTAATTCAGTTTTAAAGAAACCATTCATAATATTTTTATCAAACTTCACATGATAATACATTCTGATGTAACCTTTTCAACTGCATCTACATTTTTTGACCTTGACCTTTCCTTTTACCTTAACTTCATTTATTTTAAATTAATGTTTAGCTCAGTTTTAAATAAACCATTCAAAATATTTTTATCAAACTTAATATGCTGATATGCATTTGTGAGAACTATTCAACTGCATCAAAAACATTTGACCTTGAAGTTTTATGTGACCTTGACCTCACTTTTCTTAAATTTGCATTTGCTTAATTTTAAAGAAACCATTTAAGATATATTTATGTAAGCTTATGCACTTATACATAATTTGGTGAGAATTTATCATCTGTATCCAACTTTTTTGATTTCAATGTTAAAGAAACTATTCAAGATATTCTCATCAAATTTCATACACTAATACAAATTTTCATGTTGCATTACTAATATACCCTTGGTGGGGCATTCATGTCCTATGGACATATTTCTAGTTATATATAAAAGAAATAAAATTAAAATTTCTTCAGAACATTTTACTCTACTGGTAACAAAAAAACTTGATTGTACGTACTCCGACACACAGCACACACATGCACAATGTACCAGTATGTCCATTGTATATTTCTTTAACAGGATTCAGTGCAAGTTTTATCTACCATTAGAACATTTTACATGTATGTTGTCCAGAATGTTTTAGATGAGAATTTTTTTTTTATACATACGGACATTTTCTGGATATTTAATGCATAGATATCAGATAATGTTACATATACATGTACACTATACGGTAGCATACATAAACTTCTCAGTATTAATGAACATTAAGGAATTCACTTCAATCATGTAATTAATTATCCATTTTTAAAATGTAAACTTTGAGTTTGTTATGTGATGCCATATACTCTCTATGTGAATCTCGGAGAAGACAGATGATTGGCATTATATTACGATATTTGTATTCTTTATTAATTTGTATGTGAATACTTATCATTGTAAAACAAGTGTGTTCTGTTTGAAACCAGATTTTTTTTTTTCTCTGTTAGTGTGGTATATATAATGTGGTCACTTCTACCTCTTGTTACTGGAGTTAGACACGAGTTAATCAGACTGGACTGAATTAATAAAAAAAACTTTTGAATGTATGTAGAATATAATTAAAAATATTATGGAAACAATAATGTGACGTTTCCTTTCTGGAACCTGTGATCATAGAATTTTTTAAAAATAAATTTGCATTATCCATTTTCAATGGGTCATGATTAATGTTGCCCAATAAAAAACATACCCATATCAGCTCAGCAGGAAACATTTATTTTTGAACCAATGTTTAAAAAATAAATAAATATTGCTTTGTAAAAAATAATCTATTAAATTTTAATGTAAAGTACTTTGATCAGAGAATTTATCACAGATGGTTGTAGATTTGCAGGCAGTCCCTATCTCTGGGGATAAACGAAATATGCAAAGAACGAGCAGGGATCATAACTGTATTCAGTACGACTGAAGATTTGCAGGCATTCCCTAATTTCTCGGGATAAACGAAATGTGCAAAGGCTGAGCAGGGGTCATAACTGTGTTCAGTACGGCATCCATAGGACCATGATTGTACTCGAGGCGGAAGTTCTGAACAATCTGAAACGGAATGATCAATATTTAAGATATATATGAGAGAGTGACATTTTTAAAACACTATTTATTAAATATAGTGTCGATATAAGAAGGCAGGTAATATTCTACATTAAAAAAAATTACCGTAATTACCTTTGTCAACAATATATGGATTTCTTGTTCAGCAAATCTGCGACCTAAATTAATAAAAATTATTTTTAAAAAAAATGTTACTGTCACTATGAATATTCAATTTGCAAGAAAGAACACCTGTCGCAAGTGACTTACCTATGCACATGCGCGCGCCGTGACCCCACACAAAGTTGGAGAGAGCTTTTACTTCCTGGTTCATGGTGTTCTCTTTTAACCAGCGTTCAGGTTTGAAAGCTTCTGGCTCAGGAAATAAATTGCTGTCCCGATACATTGTGTACAAATTTCCTTGAACATGGGTCTACAGGATTAAGAATGTTACACATTTTACGAAAACATTTAATGTGAGCAAATGTATTTCTTTAAAAAAAATACAAGAGATTCCTCTTTAACCGGCATGTCAACAGTTGGATACTATATTTAAGAAACCGAAATTTAATACATGTAATTAAATAGCTTATCCGATATATTAATTGTTTAAATTATCCGATATTCAAGATTTAGGGGGAAAAACGTGAAAACTAATTGCTAGTGATATACCTACCCCAGCTGGAATTGTGTACCCAGCGACTTCAGTGTCCTTTGCTAAATATCTGGTTGTTGCGAAAGTGATAGGGTATAACCTTCAATTAAAACAACCATTATTTATTCTCACTGGAAAAGCATTTAAAAAGTTCTCCAGTAAATATTATGAATGTATTGAATTATGAAGAAGGATATTCCCCCTAACCAGAATTGGACTGATAAATATTTATAAAGAGTCAAGAATCTTCCAAAATGTTTATACGTATACGTGGATTTTTGGTATTGAAATGTCTAATGAGATGAGATGAAAAATTGTATTCATTGGAGCATAATATTTTTATTCGGTGAATAAAATTTTCATATACTAATTATTCCACACTTAAAAACTGCTCACATCGGACTAGTGATACATACTTGTTACATCAATCAGGATAAATACAGACTATGTACATAAAAGTTGATAAAATATGGATACCCTGGGCGCGCGAGCTCAGACATATTTTATATTACTAGTATTCCCTATAGTAGAATTTTTATACTTGGAAGGATATTTCATAGGTGAACATTTTAAAAGTAAAAGCACGCATATGAAGAAAGAAAGTTTATAATTGCTCTTACCCCTAGTAGACCCCCCCCCCCCCCTCTTAGTTTACTTCAAAACGGAACACAAGCTTACAAAAATGGAGTCGAAATAAATATTTATTTTTTTTCTGTTTGTTTTGCTAAATGTAAATCCCAGATGGATAATATGCAAAAGCACGCCCCTATTATGGCAATTTCTATCATCAGGTTTACCTGTAAGGTAATGTTAAGAGGTATAAGGTAACATGAATATGATTGAACCACAGGAGTGAAATTGTGCTGTAAAATTCCCAAGGACACAAAAAAAGAAATTATCATACGTACCATGTACAAGTATTTGGAGCCTAACGTTATTCTATCCTCATACGGGCATTATTGGCATTATAAGTGGGGAAAGAACGGGATTTATCTGCATTAATATTAATTGTTTTTACTTACAGAATGGTTTTTATAAATTTTTAGGGTTCTTTTTAAATAACATATTTCTGTATTTACCTGAAGGTTTCTTTCAAGATTGCTTTGACGTACTGGAGCTCAGAGAGTTTTTCAGGGGTGATTGTCTCATTGTTGGGCAAAACTCGTTTTGTTTCTTCGTATAATTTTTCTTGGACCTCTGGGTTTTTAGCTAAGCAGTATAATGCCCATAATGATCCACTTGAAGTCTGAAAGAAAAATTCAGAATTCTACCTACAAGTTCTCAGTAGATACTAGAGAGCATTCAGGCATACACCCGCCCGCCGCACCTTAATCACTGTAGTATACGTATTAATGCATTCTAAGGTTATATCTTTGTCTATCTTGTCGTAATTCTAGACCAGAATTCTAAATTTTTTGGCTTTTGTGGAGGCACAATATATATGAATTTTCCGAAATAGAGGGTATTCCGACACACTCCTTTGTCAACAATAGACGAATCATTCTAAAACTGACGTGTGCATATATACTTTGGTCTGTGTTGTGGTATGGTCTGTCTGTGTCAGTAAGGGAACCCCACCACCATCATCACTACACACCCTTCCCCAAACAATAGCCCTGCATTATTTTTAAATAGCTCCATGCATCCATAAAGGAAAACGATTTCACACTCCAATGCATATCCATTTAACTTTTCTTTTGGGTGTTTGGAGGGGAATGTGCTGCATGGAACTTTTTTTTTTTTTGACATAATTTTTTTTATAAAGCTATAAAAGATGAATGAATTATCGATAATCCGCTTACTTTGGGGCACTTACAGTTTCTGTGGCACTGATGAGCATGTCTACAACTGTTGAGAGGGCCTCGTTTTCGGTGAGGGATTTTTGGTTCATCATGTACTCCAAAAAGGAAGATTTTTCTCCCTCTTTCGGTGGGTTTTGTTGGAGAAGAGCGGCTTTCTACAGTAAACACATAGAGAACATTCTTGAAAAACTTAGGAAACAAATTCTTTTGTATCAATAATCTAGAAGTTTTCAACTGGTAAGTTAATTTTGTCATTTAAAAAACAACAACAACAACCCCCAAATGTCTTTTCCAGAAGGAAAAATAAAATCAAGTTCTTTTATGCTACCTTGTCTACGAATGATCTGCCAATTTTGAAAATGTTGTCTGCATATTTCTCGTATTGCTTCCAGGTTTTGGTAGGGAAAATTTTGTATAATGGAACATTATACATGAGAGGTTGCATAAGCTTGAAAAATCCTTGTAAATTTTCAATGAAGTCCTGAGCCTGTTGTGATGGGTTTGGTCCAAGACAACCAATTCTGGAGTCAAACAAGAATGGACTAATTGCTGTAAAAGAGAGAATGTATTGGTATTTTACAAAAGGACTTCTACTACACGCCATGTGCATTGAAAATATGCTTTACGTCAACTTACATTCCATGGACCACTTGAAGAGTTCTTTCTCGATACCCACGATTTCATTGTTCTGGTTTCTTAGGCTGGACAGGTGATCAGTGAAATCATTAGCTACCTGGTCCATATCTGGACAATAGTCCAACACTTCCTTCATCTTCAACATCTTTTTGATTGTAACAGTACGGAGTTTGTGCCATTCAGCACCCTTTCTAAAAATAGAATTCCTTATTAATAAACTGCTATTAATAATTGCTATTAAATGTTCATATTGCATTGAAAAATGAAAGAGTCGTCCCGATCTTGATACATGTATTAGAAAATTTCGATATATACCAATGAAATTTATCATCTGTGTCATCAGAATATTTGTATCTGAAATGTTTCCTGATTTACTGGATATTCAGATTATTTGAGTACTTACGAATCTACGAGACCTTGTCCTAATTTCTTCAGTTCTCTGTAGTGATGCCATGGTTCCATCAGATGGCGCTCCGGAAATTTGCCGTCCACTCTGATGACCTTATTGTACTCAACAGGGTCGCTGATGACAACTGTTGAAATGTTGGCGATGTTTTCTTTGAAAATTGGTCCAAATTGAAGAGCTCTTTGTCTATACGCCTGTTCATATAAAATAAGTACATGTATTTAGAAAAGACTTTGTATGCCAGGAATACAAACCGCGTGATGAACAAAATAGAGAATGATATATAATCATTTACTTCAAACATTTTGTTGAATCGAAAACCATCTTTCTTCATGTAATCAAAGAGTGTTCCCACAACTGGAAGCCCCTTTGGTCCAGGGATGTTGTCGAATGACTTTACTGACGAAGTTTGAATGTTTGTTTTTTGTTCCATCGATGTTTCAAATGGTGCCATAATTCTGTCAAATGCGTTTACTGCATCTCGCATTGGACACTAAGAATATAATAACTCTAAATTATATGATTGTTTGATAAATTTTCCAAGTTACAGAACTTTATTTGAAGTAAATGAATTGCATATATTTAAATGTCAATGTTTCAATACATATCGTAGTTTGCAAAAAGCATTTCTTCACCAAATTGATTTCTAATTTGATTTATTGAAATTATCTTAACAACATTTAGGCATCATTTCTATTAAATAAAACCAAAAAATATCAATCCATAAAATTACCCACTATGACTTGAATAAAAGTTATAAAACAAATTGAAATTCCAGCATAAACTTAGATCTTACCGAGAGTGGTACTACCTCTTTCAGAGTGATTGCCTGTTAAACTGAGACCTTACCGAGAATGGTACTACCTCTTTAAGAGTGATCGCCTGTTTAACTAAGGTCTTACCGAGAATGGTACTACCTCTTTGAGAGTGATTGCCTGTTAAACTGAGATCTTACCGAGAATGGTACTACCTCTTTGAGAGTGATTGCCTGTTTAACTAAGGTCTTACCGAGAATGGTACTACCTCTTTAAGAGTGATTGCCTGTTTAACTAAGGTCTTACCGAGAATGGTACTACCTCTTTGAGAGTGATTGCCTGTTAAACTGAGATCTTACCGTGAGTGGTGCTACCTCGGTGAGAGTAATTGCCTGGTTGTTTCTTGAGGAGGTGGAGAGAACCCGGTTTTGAACCTTCAAAGTTTTTGTTAAAACGTTGCATAAAGTTGTTCCTTTGGTTGCCATTTTAGTTCTGTATAGAACAAAAAAGTCACACTTTGTTATAAATTGATTGATTAATTATTGTTTAATGTTCAAACGTGCGCACACATCAAAACGTTGGAAAAGTCTTGATAGAATCTACGCATAAATGTATTTTGACATTCTGTTAAGTCTATAAATACTTTCAGTAACCTGAATTACAAAGTTGTTTGTTCCGTTCTTGCGCAGGTCTTGAATCACAAAAATAAGTTGTACATGTGCTTTCTTATTTAGGATAGTGTTCGATTATTTTGTTTTCTTTTGGAATTGACAAATAGTGGTATCTTGTATGAAGCAAATGTTTTGATTTGTAAATAAAACTCAATAGAATTCATCCTTTATTGATTATTATTATTTTGAAATGTGATCTTTATATGTTTTTGATATAGGCTAAATTTAGCTTATTCGTTTGATGTAAACATAAGTAAGATTCATTAAACTTGTATAATCGTAAAGTTTTTTTTTTATTAATAATTTGAATATTTTCATTGTTTGATATGTTTATCATTTAGTGAACATCAGTATATAAATGAGATTTTTGATACTTTGAAAGGGATCAAAATCATAATATAGAATAAAAACAATATATTCTCGCAAACATTTTATGCTCAGAACATTTGAGTTTGGCGTATAGAGTGGTCGCCTACAGTGTATTATAAAAAAAGTGAAGTGCTAAAACTAGACAATAGCATCAGTATAACTCAAATCAAGGGCGGATCCAGAATTTCACACCAATACCTAACATGAGAAGGACCTTGCTGAAAGTAATACCTGTGGTCTCATTAAGATTCTAATTCACGACATATAATTACTGTAAGCAAATTAATTTATTATTAATCCAGCAAAATCTTGTCTGTGTTGCAATAGAGATTATAAGATTAGTAATATATCTATGGTGGGAAACAAGATGACAATGAATTTAGCATACACAGGGAATTTCTCTATAAATCATATTCTCCTCAAGAAAGTTTAAGTTAAAAAATTGTCCATAACAATGCAAGCATCTTCACTGTGTCTCAATCTTAAACTTCCTCAGTTCATTGAGCCTCGGGAAGAGTTTTTTTTTTTTTAAATTTTCAATTATATGGAAAAAATTGTCTGTAGGAACAATAAGGCTTCAAAATGACAAATAAGCAAATATCCTTTATTTTAGTGTAAATTTGAGCTTGATAAAATAAATTGTGCGGGATTTAGACCACAATAGAGTTTGAAAATTTACATTTCAATAGCAAAAAGTATAAAGAACAATTAAGAAAGAAATTAACAAGCACGTGACCATTAATTTTAAGGTGCATGGACCTCGTTATATATATATATATATATATATATATATATATATATATATATATATATATATATATATATATATATATATATATATATATATAAGTACAGAAAACATATCAGTATTGTTTGAAATTCTGTAAAATTATTGCAAGTCCCTATGGCAAATGACCCCAATAATGATTCTGTTTCATTTAACGCAAATATTTCATCTACTACATGTATATTTATTATTATTAAATGTACTACAAATATTATATATCTCTATATACATGTATAGTTCTGACTAATACAGTACTAATATGCATGTTATAAAAAGTCACCTACCTGGTTTGTAATTACTGTTAATTGGGGGCCGAAAAATAAAAACGGGTTTCCACCCTGTGTTACGACTTATGGCACTAGGTAGCGCAAGGCTGCTTTCCATCGTTGCGTCTTTTATAGTCTTTATCACGTGACATTTACTGATGCTGAAATCTCGACCATCATTCTCATTCATTCATTCATTATTATTTTTTAGACGCAGGTGTGAGTCAGTTGGAAAGTTTAGAACAAATCGCTTTTATCCCGTGGAGTTGTTGCATCAATGAATGAATCACAAAAACACTGCTGACTTTATCTAGCCACAATAATCGTCTTGGTCCTTGAATTTCTGTTTGAGAAAGAGGGCTTGATCAGAAAAAAAGTAGGAGACAGCTGAAGGCGGTGAAGGTCTCCACAACACAATAACGTGACTTTGTCATTGATTATACTGTTTGGCGACCACTTATTTAAAAAAAACTCGCCCTTTCTGTACGGATTATGACAAAAAGTGCTTTAACATCAGAATGAATTCTTTACTGAAATCACATTTTGTTTGTTCCAGACGTGGCCATTTATCAGTATTAGCTAAGGAAATACCTCTTGTATACTTTTACAAAATTAATTCTAACAATAATTAATACTGATAAGTACAGATAAGGAAATGAGGAAATGACCCGTGCACAAATTTTAAGATCGTAATTATCCCGTATTTAACATGGAGGACTATATTATCCAAATAAAAAGATACTTTTAATTTCTTCTTTCCTCTACAGCAAGAAGGAGACATACTGATTTTGATGATCAATAATATTAATATACGAGCATCTTCAGGTAGTGCAAAATTAAATAACTGCGACCGATACTATTGTTGTGCAGCCTACCTCCAAGTCAAATTTCAAAAGTTAACATATTTGAATGATTTTTCATATTTATATAGATATTTATGTGAATTTTTATAACACATAACTTATTTGGGGAAACAAAGAGAGATAATTCTTAAATTTTGGTAAAAATTGCGTTTTTCACTACAGAAATCAACGGAAAACAGAAAATATTTTAGAACCCCCCCCCCAATCCTATTTATGGGTTTTATTAATTGTTATTGCACAAATTCATACCAAAGCTTTTGTTGTTTCACCGGGGGTGGGGGGGGGCGGGGGTATGTTTACAGACAAAAAAGCTGCAAAAATGAATATATCGATCGTCGGTATATCTAAATGTCGAGTTAAAAAACCACAGCAAGTGTTTTCTTCTCATGTAGAAGGTTTTTTTTTAATTCTGCTTCATAGGAATATGAAAATAGGTCGGCTAATAAAGGAGCTCAATTAGTGCTCATTGGAATTCCAATAGTCTAGACCTGACATATGCATGATCCACTCCGATCAAGATTTAGATATATCGACGATGTATTATCAATTAACAATTTTTGCTGATTTTACACGACGAGGACCAACTAATTTAACAACTAAATTGTATGATCAACTAGAAGACTTCAACTTTTCCATCGTCAACTTTCCTCAATTTTAAAACCGAGGCAGACTACTGACAGATAAGTTGACGTTACAGGGACGTTTAAAGTCTGCATTTCGTAAATTTTATGGTCGTTATAATAACTTTGTTAGCAATTCTAACCTATCATTTGTCGTATTTTGGCTGACTTGTTTCATACCAGTTGTTAGGCCTTTGTTTTTATGCTGAATTTGATTACAGAATGTTCCGTCTACCTGATCAATACATGGGGATCACGGCGGGTGGGACCGGTCAACAGGGGATGCTTACTCTTCCTAGGCACCAGATCCCACCTCAGGAATTTCCAGGGGTCCGTTCTTTATGATTTCTTCACAGAATTGTATTGTAAATAGATTTTTTGAGATCGGTCACTGTTCGTTGTCTCCACCTTTTACACCAAAATACTGAACTTTTTATGAGAGTGTATCAAATGTCTGGTCTAGACCATAATACTGGAGCTCTTGATGGGTGTGGATCATACTAGTATGTCAGGTCTTGACCATAACACTGGAACTTTTGATGGGTATGGATCATATGACAGGTCAAGATCATAATACTGGAACTCTTGATTGGAGTGGATCATACATGTACGTCACGTCTGGTCTTGACCAGAATACTGGAACTCTTGATGGGTATGGATCATATGACAGGTCATGATCATAATACTGGAACTCTTGATTGGAGTGGATCATATGTCACGTCAGGTCTTGACCATAATACTGGAGCTCTTGATGGGTGTGGATCATAGGTCAGGTCTTGACCATAATATGGAGCTTTTGATGGGTTTGGATCATATGTTAGGTCTTGAACATAATACTGGGACTCTTGATGGGAGTGGATCATAGATCAGGTCTTGACTATGATACTGGAACTCTTGATTGGAGTGGATCCTAAGTCAGGTCTTGACCATAATACTGGAGCTTTTGATGGGTGTGGATCATATGTTAGATCTTGAACATAATACTGGGACTCTTGATGGGAGTGGATCATAGATCAGGTCTTGACCATGATACTGGAACTCTTGATTGGAGTGGATCCTAAGTCAGGTCTTGACCATAATACTGGAGCTTTTGATGGGTGTGGATCATACTAGTATGTCAGGAATTGACCATAACACTGGAACTCTTGATGGGAGTGGATCATAGGTCAGGTCTTGACCATAATACTGGAGCTCTTGATGGGTGTGGATCATATGACAGGTCTTGACCATAATACTGGGATTCTTGATGGGAGTGGATCAAATGTCCGGTCTAGACCATAATACTGGGACTCTTGATGGGTATGGATCATATGTCAGGTCTTAACCATAATACTGGAACTCTTGATGGGTGTGGGTCATATGTTAGGTCTAGACCATAATACTGGAACTCTTGATGGGAGTGGATCATGTCTAGACCATAATACTGGATCCTACAATGGCCGATAGCGGCTGTCAGTTTATACTTTCGTTATGTGTGTAATATGTACAATTTTTTCCACTGAAAACGCACTGAATGATGAAACCACATACTCCAGTTTGATAGAACGTAGCAACAACCAACATTGCTTGACAACGGGTGATATTCGGGGAAAAAAGTTGACTGCGCAGACCTTATGGACGAACGGTTCGTTGTTATATGTATTTGTATAAAACATTACGTGTAATACGATTAATATTGCATGTTATTGAGGATAATACTGAAGATTTTCACTTAAATAAAACAATTCAACCGCGTCAATCGACGCTCCCCTACTCTTCAAAACAACAAAATTGGAGTATGATTATCAATTGATCACCGCTGCTTATATTTATGGTATTCTTTACAAATGACGAAACTTTATACCGTAAATATCCACCAGTAGACTGAAAGTATTACTCTTTTTGGGCAGGTAGAAACGTAATTTATAGACCGCTGATCGTCTTAAATCAGCAGCTATATTGAATCAATGAGTTATAATTGATTCCAGTGATATTTTATTTTAGAGCAGTTTTGCATGTCGAATAGAGAAAGTTACATATGACATGATCGAGTTGTATGAATACATAGTCAGCGAAATTATAACAATGTTCCACATAAAGATGATATCTGATATCCCTAGAAACACTTTGATGGTTAAATAAAGTTTTAAGTACATGAAGAGGAAAAGGGGTTCAATTAAAAAAAGCCAATATTTGTTATTGTATAATTTCCTAGGAGCTCAAAGAAAATTGTCTTAAATAAACTGTTTAGCTATTTTTATGCTTTCTTGATAGAAAATTCGAATAAACATACCCCGAGACTGACTGTCTTTCTGTCTAAATTTTCACAGAGAGCTACGGTTCTGCAGCTAACTTGAACAGTGTAACTTTTTGCACAGTTAATAACACTTTTTTCCTGTTTGCTGATTTAGTGAAAATAATATTAAATCTCCTCCTAAAACAAGATATCCTATAAATAATTTTTTTTTTCAACTCAGTGTCACTCAGTAATGGGAGAGTTCATGTCTGGGTGAGACACAATTCAATTCTATTGGAGAAAAGTTGATACTCTTTGTATGGTGAATGTCAATTGCATCCTAACCTTCTCAGTGTGCCGCCATGACCTTGAGTCTGTATCAGACAGACATGACCTTGAGTCTGTATCAGACAGAACAGTAGTCTAATCCTCGACTACAGTGCAGTATGTCTTAAAAGGCTGGAAATGCACATTTATTCCTCTAGGGGCTGACCCAGTATTTAAATTGGTTGAGAAAAGCTTGATTTTAAACAATCCATATTATGACCATGTATTTACTTTATTAGTATTTTATCTAAGAAATCCTGCCGAATTTTTTTTTTCAGATGGTAAGTGTTTTTTTTTTTAATCAAATGTTTCTTGACGAATCAGATTCAAGTTATTTACATGAAAGTTTAATATCTATCAATATTATACTTTCATGTAAATTAGTTGAATCTGATTCGTCGAGAAACATTTGTTAAAAAAATTATATTCTGCAGTATTTATTACAGTTATTTACTTGTATACAGAACAGTTGAATATTTTGTGTAAAATCACTTTTATTGTCAGGTATGAATCAATGATAAATATGTATTTCTGATTATAAAGGGGCCTGAACACAGTTACATTGCTGTTTTGTTTACAATTTTATATTTCTATTTTTATTGAAAAATATAACCTCAGTTTAAGGAATTGAACTTGTATGGACAATAACATTCTTTATAACATCACGTCAAACATTTATGTTTGTAAACAGGGCACGAGCTCCGTAATTTACGTTTTTCCGGGTGTGTTCAATTTGTTTATTCTGGACACATCACTGAGCATGAACTGACAATACTGGCTCCGGGGCCATAAAACTTAGTCGAGCTCACTTTTGATCTCAGTCTCACTTTTACAAAAGGAATATATATGGGGAAAGTGAGACTAAGATCAAAAGTGAGATCATCTAAGTTTTATGGCCCCGGAGCCTGGTGTGTGTTTGTTTTACTTTCTCACTTTTCTACTCTGAATTTCCTGCATTAAAGTTTTAATATTTTTCATTAATACACAACAAAATTTCTACTTTTCTTAAGTATCATGGATAAAATTTACTTCTTGAAAATAGTTTCAATAATTTAAGGAATAACTGTCAGATTTGTTGGTTTCATGATGTGATCAATCGATTGGCTTGCGTGATAATTTGCATAAACGCCGAA